TTGGCATCATAACCTGAACCCAAGTGCTGCATGTAATCATTCTCATGTGAAAATGCCCCATTTGCCTCCAAAATGGGCCCTTACTCATTATTTAGGCACTAAGTTGTCTGAGCTATTTATTCATTGTGCAAACAATTTTTTTCTCATAATGAAGCCCATTATGTGAAAAAGTCAACCTTAAGTAGTGTGAGGACACAGTTCATATAAAAATCAATGCAACCTTTCACTGAAGCATAAATCAGATCAGCTCTGACATATGTGAAAATATTTGGGGAATGCTTAATGACATTTTTGTGTTCTTGTAAATTATGTGCTCTGGGCTGACTTTAAAAGTAGAAATAGGGAAAGCTCATCTCATATCAGGAAACATCAGCAATTGAAGCCACTACCTTTCTCGTGATAGTTTCACAGATCTTCATCTTATACATCTTACAATAAGTCCACACATGTGGAAACATAGAATCATTAATATTGGAAAGAGCTGCTATCCTCTTTGAGGTTCACCAAAAGCTGATTTCTAATTTTCAAAGTGACAATACCTAATCCCATTCAGATATTTCCCCCCTTCAGAATATAATTCAAACATCGGTTAAAGCCGCTCTTGCTGCATAGAAAAGTTACTATCCCATTGAATTTTTGCTCCTGCATGCATGTCCTGTGAGTTTCTTCTTCAGGATGAAATTCCCATTTTGGAAATCACTCCTCCAAGTAATTGTTCTATGGTTGGTTCTTTGACTCTAAAAAGAGAAATACAGGAGGCAAGGAAAAGCTCCTTCATGTACTTATTTTGAGGGATAAGTACAGCATTGTGCCTGGCTGACAGTCAAAGGTCCAAGAGCTGGGACAAATCATGCAGTAAATAAATGAAAAAGGGATCTGTGGAAACCCAAAAGACATTAGCTTTCTAGGGCTGGTATGGAGTATGGGAATCTTAGGAAAAACGGGGATATATGGACTAACAAAATGAGTGAGCTTTCAGAACTCATTGCAAGGTGGAATATTTTATATGTGTAATAGCTCATTGGACTATTTAGCTAGGACTTGTAGAAATGGGAAGAAGTATGTGCAGCTTGAAACCTTTGCTTTTCAGTTGGCTGAGGCTGCAAATATACCATTCTTCAAGGGGAAAGAACTGGGAGGTCAGTGGGCAGGTAGAAAGGTATTTAAAATCAGAGGGCTGCATGGATAAGAGCTGCTCCCCTGACTCCGTGAATGTCAGGCACAGACCACCACTATCAAAATCAAGTGATGTTTGTTCTCTTAACTACAGAGAAGAAACAACATTTGCCCAGCAGTGAAGAGCAGTTACTGTGACTTTGGAGTCTTGAGTATTTATCGGCAGGCTTGGAAATCATATAAACCTTATCTCCTTGTTTGTGTTTTTGAAAAACAGATAACTTTGCCCTCTGAAGACACTGCTATCTTTATTGGGCAGATGAAGTGGGCTTGGTGCCTGCTCTTCTTCAGGCACTCGCATTCCTGCTTCATGGAATTCTGCTGTGATTTGGGCTGTTACCATGGCCTGGGACTCACTCCCTGCAGAGCTGCTGTCCCTAACCGATGAGTCCTCTATCAATTATCTTGGCTTATTTATTACTTACATGGCATAATAACCTTAACATATTTTGACTTGTTCCAGTCACTCTGGACTACACATTTGGTCAGGTTTGGATGGTGAACCCATGGGTTCCCCTTCCCTGACAGAAAACTGTAGACCCATTCTCTGCAGTGAGTCAGTGGTTACTTTCAGATACTTGGCTACCTGTAGTCTCCTCTCAGGAAGTAAACATGTTGGTAGGAAGTACTGAGTATATGAAAGGTCCTCTCCTAGCCTGAAGTTTTGTTTTCCAATACAAAATAAGGAATTCCAGCCTTGACTCTGAAGGCCAGCGTGAGAGGAACGAAAGCACGGATTTAGCAAATTTCACTTGGTGCAGCCATAATCCTCCCACACCATGGTTAGACACAGCTGGAGTCACCCAAAGGACCTTTCTTGCCACAAGAGTGTTGCCTTGACTTCTGTTGCATGTGGAGAGATGGCAACCTAGTCTTGGTAAGGTTTAATCTTAGCTCCATCCAGAGCTGAATCCCCTACATCTTTCAGTGCTGCTCCACCACTTGGCTGTGGAGGGAAAAACCTGCTCGGCAGACTGGAAGTTACAGCTAAGGGAAGCAGAAAAGGCAGTAGTTGTTAGCTGATGTTGTCAGGGAAAGTTTTTTAGTGCGCTGGGGGTCAGGGACATGGCAAACTGCCTGAAAGCAAATGCTTGCCCTTGCTGGGTCTGCCTGTGCTGGTGCATAGTGCCAGGCCCCTTCTTGCTCAGAACAGGGCTAATGGTGAGGACTTTTGCAGCCTTACTGGCTTGCATTGAACCTGCAATACAGAGCCCAGAAACACAGTGAGATGTTTTTTCAGAGGTGAAAACTCTGCAGTGCATATTTTGATGTTCCATAAGTGACATTATGGAATGCAAAAATAGCTAGATGTAAAAAATAGATTGAATCTATTTACTAAAACATTTAATCAGATTATAAGCTTTCAAACCTTTCAGATACACTGCCTTATATTTTGATTATTTAGGTCTCCGCATGTCAGGAACCCTGGGAAAAAAATCCTACTTAAATCCCTCAATGTTTCACATTTGCATAGGATGAACTGACTTCTTTGCCCTAGTAGAAAGCTTCAGGAAAAAAACCAACCCAAAGCTCTATATTCAGAGCTTCAAAGCCACATTCCTGTGGCTTCATACAGGACATGACACTTCAGTAAGACCCCTGCTGCTGTATGCCCTGCTCCCTCCACTCACAGTGACAACGTTGAGTGAACTGCCTGGGAAGTTCGTGGTGTGGCTTCCTGGAGAAGGGTGCCTCTGAGCACGGGGCACTGAACCCACCGAAGCCAACAGGAGGTTAACTCAGATCGTAGCTATTCCCATAACCATGTATTACAGACTGTTGGATTTTGTTTCAGTGATGAGCTTCAAGTACAGCCAAAAGCGAATAGAGGCACGTTGACCTCATAGTTTTGCGAATACAGATTGAGCGATCCAAGACAATTAAAAGCAGGGAATACGTGCCATCTCCAAACCCCTGGCGAGGCACTGCCAGAAGTTACCGCTGCCCCGTCCGACTGAAAAGACATTAATACCCGCTGCAGAGGAGGTTGGAAGGCAGCCATCCTCGATGGATTGCTTACGAGCACTGACTAGAGTCAAACCGAATTCAGTCAGAGATTTACACAAGCCTCATAATCTAATAGTAGAGTTTACTTTACGAGAGTGCCACACCAAAGATAGTAAAATGCAGTTTTAGCTAACAAATCGACATGCTTCCACAGAAAAGCTCCAGCCATCATGGAGCATGTCAGCACTGCAGAGTGCCTGGCACGGATTTATAGTTTTCAGTTTACTGCTGAAGAGTTATTGTTAAGTCCATTGTTATAGGTTTTCTGCAATTAAAAGTTCCAGTCACACTTATCGTTTTTAAACATAGCTAATAAAACCCAGTAAATTCTGAGACATTATAGGTTTTACCATGCTGTTAAACATCTCAAACTTTTTTATATTGGACCTTTGACCTATGTTAGGAGAGATTTTGGAAGCAAATTGGCTGTTCTAAGCTGCTTTACTTCTGATTTGCTTGGATATGCAAAACTTCTTATAGTTTCTCTTTACTGTAGTAAGAGATATAGCAGGTCAATACTTAGACGTTTTCCCTCATGCATGCAACAGGTGACCATAAGCTAAGTACTATGTCTCTTACAAGTCACCTTCCAATGTTCTGTGCTTTTTGTGTCATAAATTATAAAGAATGATGGTTATTTTTGTTGTAGCAGCAACTTTTGGTCTTTTCTCTCACGTGAGTAATGTTTTCTCTCTTTTCTATCAAAGCTTTAGGAAAACATACTTTTCATTTTCTCTACAGGTGGCTAGAGATACAAATTTTACTTCTGATCACCTGTATTCATGTGTTCGGAAACATATTAGGGTACATGGATGGGGCACAGAACCTAGACAGGTGGACAGAATAATTTTACCCTGTGTATTTCCCAGGACTTTGTGAACTAGCCTCAGCAGCCTCACAGTGGACACTTACAGGATCCAACTTCTACTGACAAGGTTATGGATCTGCTTTTTAAATGCTTCAAGGTTAATCTTAGTTTCAAATTCCATGAACATTCAGAGATCCTAGTGCCAAGTCAGTATACTTTGAGATATATATATTGCGAATGGTATCTATTGAGATATAATATCCACACAAGCAGAATTCCTCTTGTAGAAGCACAGATACTATAAAAATCCAAACATATCTAGTGGAGAAAACAAATAACAGAAAGCTCATATTCGTCAGAAACCAACTTTACTGTAAGATAATTGCTATTTGCACCCTGCGTTTCATTGCAACAACCAGGACTGGCTCTTTGCACTACAAAAGAGTTTCACTATCTTTGAGATCGTCGGATGGGTTAAGTATACAGACAGAGGAAGTAAGAAAAACAGCGTGCATGATCTGGAATAGAGATTACTGAATGGAGGGGTGTGTATAGGACTGAAAACCAATATCCCTCTGAGAGCTTTGGGAGGCTTAGTGCACAAGCTTGAAACCCCTGCTTTAAAAAACGTGGATCAGAAACTTTTTATCAAGCTGAACACAGTTGTTGATCCCTGATCTCGCCTCTTCCCGTACACCAGAAAGAGGCAAAGCTTTACGCCAGGTGGGATGCACCTTGGTTGAAGCTGTGGGCACACTTTCCCCCAGTGGTATCGTTTAACACATTACACCTTCAGGTTTCCCTTATCAAGTCTAGCCGCTGGGAACATTGTGTCTTTACAATCAGAAAGTCCAGTTTCTGTATCAAAGGACGCAAAATGCACACACCCACATCTCTCTGCATTTTTAAAAGACCATCATCTATTGCAAACTTGTGCAATCTGCATCAGAGATTTAAAAGAAAGAAAGAGAGAGAGGTTTGTCTTTTAAGAACAAAAAAAAAAACTTACCAAAAATAACTGAAGTTCTCTAAAGTTGCCCTGAAGTTGAAATAGCCCAGAACACCAGTGCAGAGCCTGCCTTAAACTCTCTCTCTTTCTCACTCCCCCTCTCTCTCCAGCAATTGGAAGGAGGGCTGTGCAGAAATTCAGCAAACAATTTTCCTTCTATGTCGACCGGGGCGTTCCTCTACGGGCAGAAAGGGGATGGCTAAGCCTGGGTGAGGCTCGTTGCTCTCTCCTCAAGCCAAAGAGCGCTGTCGCAGATTACACAGCCTGTGAAATCCAATCCCTTTCTCTAGTCAGGCAACAGCTGTACGGCTTCAGCTGAGGCGGGAGCGGTGGATAGACCCTGGGCTTGTTGCTGGTCAGGCTTTCCATGCTGGGGAATGGGGGGGGACACGGGTTTCCGTAAACTCCGTGTCTTCTCCCAGGTCACTGCCTACAGCCACAGGCACGAGTGTACACAGGGTGGAGATGCGGGGCAACTTCCGCGGGACTGAAAGTATATGGGATGTGGGCGCCCGCGCAAAACAAACATCTCTTTTCCTGAAATTCATTCCCAGCTTCGCTCCAGGACATAACCGGGTAATTAACGTTATACGTATTAGTAAACTCTCATGCAAGCATGCACACACACAGGATGCAGCCTGTCAGCCTGTCACAACAGCGCGGTTCAAAGGGGTTTCAAGGCTGCTCTAGTGTCCTCTCTAAGTTCGTTTTTCCTTGTCACTTTCAGTCAGCTGTTTAATTCTTTCCGAAAAAAATCCCTGAATGCTGAGCTGACAGTCCTTACACCAAGTGAAGCGTTATGGTGGCTCGCAGGGCGGGAGTGCCAGTGTGCTTTAGTGCTGCCTTCTCTGTGTGTCCTGATACTCTACACTTGAGGAAAGCTGCTTAGCGCCAGCAGAAATGGATTTATGAAAATTCCCAGCCCCTCCTCTCACCTGTTTCTATTTCTCCACCCCATGTATAGGAAAGAAATTTATAATACAGCTGATTCCTCCCTCTCTAAGGAATTCCACTGATCCTTTGACTCCTCCTCCCTGAAGCTTTGAAAAATCAGAGCAACAGATTTCAGTGTGGGTTTCCGTGTGTCACAGAGGCATTTGGCTGCTCGTTTGCATGCTGTCAAATAGAGGTGAGGTGAGAGAGGGTGCAAAATACAAACAACACATAAGCGGCCCTGGGAGTGTCCTGCAATCCCTCCGGCCGCTTTGCCAACACCCCAGAGCAGGTAAAAAACACCGGCCAAAGGAAAACTCCTGTGTTTACAGATCAGCCTCACTTCACGTTGAGGCAGATGCTGTGGTAGGGATTTTTATGCTGCTGGCCCTGAAATTCTGCAGATGTTGGATTTCTGGACCCAACTTTAGAATGGGCACACACGGTTCCTACAGAGGTCATGTGGAAAGTTGAGAGGGAAAACTGAGTGTAGAGCTCTGTTTCCATCCTGTGTGGGTACTCAACACAGGCATTTTATGAAACCAGGTCTTCACAGAACTACAGTATTTATATTAAAGAAAATACTGTAATTTGAGCAATTAATGTATGCATATAATGTGTAATTATACATTATGTATTAATTATAGAAGATCACATATATAACAACTTAGAAATACTATACATAATTTAATCTAATTAATATATGTGGTTTGTCAGCATATGAACTGAATAACACCATAAATCGTGTCTATTTATTCTATGATTCTACTGGGTATCCACATAAAATATATAATATATAATCACATATATTGTGTGACAATATATTATATAGATAATAATATATAATTAATATGTTGTGAAGCACTATGCAGTTCATACGCAACCTCTGTCTCCTTGTGAGTGTGGCATCCACATCAAGAAATAAAAAAAATAGGTTGGCTGTAGCCAATGCAGGGATGTAAGGCTACAAAGGAGGAAGATGAGGTAATGGGACTGCGTCAGCACAGGGCGTGTGAGACTCTTCAAGGTGGCAGGAGGAAGTGTTCAAGACCATGTTGGATGGGGCTTTTAGCAACCTGGTCTAGTGGAAGGTGTCTCTGCCCATGTCGGGGGGGTTCCAACCCAACCTTCCAACCCAAACCACTCCATGACTATGTTTCAAGAGAGACATCCTGCAGCTGCCTCAAGGATGGAGGCAACCAGAAGCAATAAAGGCTTCCTGAGGTGCGGTCAACAGCAGTAAAGTAAACTGAGATGGCTGGGAACAGGAACAAGGCCTCTCTAATAGCAAGCTTTTGGCTTGCTCTGCTGCCACCCAGAGAAGTCTATCCCCAGTCTTTAGGACTATACCAAGGTCCAGCCTTTCTGAACCACCTTTCGACATCCTGATAAACAACATATATTTTTAGAAACAGACATGCAAAACAAGAAGCGCAACCTACATCATGGATTGATGTGGACACAGCTCATTTGGATGCAGAAATCTGGCTCGTCCCTCCAGAGCCAGCCATGCCAAGCAGCAGCACTTCAGCAGGGCACAGGCTCTGGGGTGACAGCAGCAGTGTGCTCCATCCCCATTCAATGCTGTATTTCAGCTGTCTTTGCTGAATATATGGATGGGTGTTGCTTCGATCTTTTAAGAATGTTTAAAGCCCACATGAGACAAAATCCTGCCTAAGTTGAGAGAAACCAACTGCTTTTTCCATAAACCTGGAAGAAATGACTATATTCTTTTTCATGGTATTGGGAAATCTACGTTCATTGTCACTGGCTTTTTTCCAGTTTCAGAACTGGAGGTGTAAACCTGAGTGTCTGAGCAGTGCCCTGCTGCTCCAACTCCAGTGAAGACAACTCCTGTGTTGATCTACCCTCTCACATAGCTTCAAGTCTAAAATCTCCCCTCTTGTCAGCCAATATGGTGCAGTTCTGTGATTATCAAATCATTTCAACATTGTTTGACTGATATGAATGCATAATGCTCACTTGGTTTATTTTTAAATATTTATCAAATCCACTGTTTGTCTACTGAGCTATTAAAAAAAATGCTATCAGAACGATAATTTCCAATTCTCTGAGTGACTGGAGCACAAGAGACATGACTCATTCAGTGGTCATACTCCAAACAGCCCTCGTGTTTACTCTTCTTGATAGACATCTAAATATTAAAAGATAAATCTCTTTGAGTTATGCTGCGGCAATACTGAATGTTCCTCTCTGCTCTCCTGCCTTGCCAGGGAGCACCACTCAAATTTCTCCATCCCACCTCTAACCCCATTTCCCAACTTCCCTGAACTACAACGTAGTTTTCTTTACTCTGTTCACAGGTAAGGCTGGGAACACACAATTGAATGACACAAGCTTTCTTTTTATTAGTGTTATTCACACCCTGACCTGTGAATGGACTGATGTTAGACTTACGCATTAGGGTGTGCTGCTTTACTAGTAATTGAAAAACGAGATGAAAAACAACAGGAATTTTCTTGTGTTTTCTTTGGCCTAAAGAGAGAGAGACAACATGTTCCCTGAGATTATACTAAAGCATGCTCTGAAACACAAATTTCTGTAGTTTATTGTAGCAAGGGTGATCATTGCTATTCTTTTTCCTTTTTAGCACTTAGGAATCTTTAAATATTTGAGGGAAAATTACGAAGCCACAAATTTCCACGAGTAGACAAGACTAGGTTGCAGAGAAGACCAGCTAAAGAAAGTGAACTTGTCTGCACAATTCATAAGGGAGTTAAAAAACTGAGGACCTCCAGTTTAAAGAAAAATGGACTGCCAAGAGAAGGGACCACAGAAGAAAGAAAAAGGAAGGGAAAGCCAAGATCAGTGCGAACAGAAGATGCAGAGGAGTAGATGGAACTGAATGTCAGACTGGCAATGAAAGGAATGAATGGATGGCTATGGAAGGATCTGGCCACCAACTCCCAGTTCAAGCCCAAAGGAAGATAAATGTAACATTAATCACCATTTACAGACATCTCCTCTGCTTTGTCTCTCATGAGTCTGCATTTTGTTATGACAAGGAAATGCATATATTTATCTATTTTACAGTCACTTAGTTTGAACTAAAAAGGATTTAAGCCAGCTACACAAACTTCCTCTGGATTTCTTCTCTCTTGCAATACATAAGCCATTAATATGATTGATTTGCTTCAACATTTTTTTTTTTTGTATAAAACTCTTCCAGTTGCAGGTAGACATATAACCTCACAAACAGAGAGAGCGCCAGAAATGGAAATGAGGTTCCATCACTGCATCTTTTAAGAAGCTTCGGTGTTGGACTCAAAGACCTCATTCTGAAGTTAGTCAATTCAGATGAATCCCCCCCCCCCGAAAAAGTGAATGGGTGTCATTCATGTATCTCGTAACCTAACTGAAGTCCATCCTCCAAATAGATTAGTCTTCTGTTCTTTATAACCTTTTCATCTGAGAATTTAGTCAAAAGAGGCTCCTGTGTCTACCTGCTCTTGGTAAGTTCTACCAGCACTATCTGCATGCTGCAATGACACCAACATGCAACTGCTAGTATTTCGTATAGTAAGACATTTCTCCTTTGTGAAGATAAACAAATGTCAACCACACAGTTGCAGGGATAGAGTAGTAAAATCCAAACTCAAGGGAAAATAGCCCAGACAAACCCAGGGTCTATTTTCAGAAAGTCAAATATTCTCTTCCGGGATGCCTTAAATACATATTTTTTCAATTTAGTGGTTAATACTCTTCCTAATGAAAAAAAAAAAAGGACGTTAAAAATGCTGATCTGCAACCAGCATAAACAAACCCCCCACCAACAACAGAGAAAGCATTATTTAGAAACCAAATGAGACCTTTTCAAGACCAATCCTTTAGCTAACAGGAGGAAAAGAAAAAGGAAACTAATTCACTCTGGACAGTTGCTTTTACTTTGTCCTCAGGCATATGCTCCATCTCCCTTTGTCCCCCAGATGCATTTCCACTGGCCCTGACAGTGCTGGCATTGACTTTGTGCAGCCAAAATAGCTTGGACAGAACGAACCAGAAAAACAGGAGCCAGCCAGAGCAAGGGGCAACACAGCCACAGCCACGGACCTGGGGGAAAACTGCTATAATTAGCAAGGCTCGTACAAAAAACATGATCCTCGTGGAGCTGCTGCCTTCCTGCCCTGCAGTTGAGTATTAGATTGTTCAGAGCAGAGGGGAGCAGAGCCATCACCTG